CGTGTGAGCAGTAAATCATTTAAATGACAATTTTGTGTAAAAAAAAAAAATATATATTTATTTTTGTCATTTTCAAAAAACTTGTGGTAAAAAAATAAATTCTTCTATTGATTCAACATTCCTCTCAGCTAATAGTTTGGGGTGACTACTTTCCAAAAAGGGGTCATTTTGGGGGGTGGGGGGGGGTTTTATGCCCAGCATTAGAAGTTTATGCCACACATCATTTATGCCACACATCATTCACTCAAAACATTATATTTTTTTTTAAAGCAGACACCATAGTGAATAAAATGGTGGGTACTACAATTTTTTATGGCACATAGTACTCGCGCAGCGATTTTTCAAAAGCAATCTTTAAAAAAAAAAATACACTTTTTTTACTTTTAATGCACAAAAACACAATATATTGGCCAATTGTTTGGTAAAATATAACAGATAATGGTATGCCGAGTAAATAGATACCAAACATGACATGCTTTAAAAACTGCGCATGCCCCGTTCAATGGCGACAAACTGCAAAAAATTTTAATATCCATAGGCAGCGCTTTAAAAGCCTTTAAAAGCCACCATTTTAGATTTACAGAGGAGATCTAGTGTTAGAATTACTGACCTTGATCTGACGTTCACGGCAATACCTCACATGCATGGTGCAACTGCTGTTTACATAACGGCATAGGGTCAAGGTGCGCATGGGAGGGGCAATTTATTTATTTTTTTTTAGTTGTTTTTTGATTTTTTTTTTTTTTTTTATATTGTACCTTTCATTTTTTTTTTTAATCACTTTTAATGCTATAACAGGGAATGCAAATAACCCCTATAACTTCAATGGGCATTGTCATATATTCTTTTTTGAGAAATCTGGGGTCTATCAGACTCTAGATATCTCCTCTGCCCTTACATTATCTAATCAAACCAAAATCGGTGTGATCAGATGCTTTCCCAATTTACAAATGGCGCTGTTTATATCCTGCGAAACTGAAGTGATGAAATGCTTGTAGCTTCCAAATTCTTAGACTATAGAGATGATTGGCACCATTCTGGTCTCCAATCAGCTCTATGGTCAGCTGGCAGAAACACCGGCTGCATTCTCAGGTTCCCTGATGGCACGGGACTGCCAAGAAGGTTGTGGAAGGCAGCGGGGGAGGGGGGACATAATCTCCCACTGCTTTTAAAAGCAATCTTGCAGCTAATTAGCCACTACGATTGCTTTTACATGAAAGACGATCACCGGCTGAAAAAAACGACACCAGGATGATGCCTGCAGCTGTAGGCATCATCCTGGTATAACCATTCAAATCCAGTGATGTACCAATACATCGCTGGTCCTTGTTGGGTATACATGCTATGTTCTTTTTTTTTTTTTGTATGCAGCCTGTGGACTGAATGAAAAAATGAGAAGAAATCTCTGCCAGAAAAAGTGTGTGGTATGCCCACCATTAGAATATACCGCCTGCATCCACCCACTTCTAATGGTGGGCACACATTAGGTCACACTTTGCCACAAGTGCCAGTTCCAAGATTGAATAAATGTCTAAATAGTGGCATGCTTGAGTAAAAATTGTCCACGTATAAGTGGTACCCCATATGGAGAAATGATGACACCAAGTCCCAAACTATCTTGTCACTGCTCCCCAAGTAGTCTAGGCATCTGGGGGGCTCCACGTGACTATCTTTTCCCTCATAAATCCGAAACTTATAAGTATAGCCTGTTGCCCTCTCACAGGTCTTCTACATCTTGACCCCATATTTGGCACGCTTGCAGGGGAGAAATTGTTTGAATGAAAAGCGGCCAGAAAAATTAATGAGGGACTCCTCAACGTAGATGTTTTGCTGGGGAGTATAGACATCTGCAAATTTTAGGTTAAGGTGATTTGCGAGGGGCTGAATTTTGTGGAGCCGGTCAAATTCAGGGTCACCCCGAGGATGACAGAGTGTATTGTCGCTGAAATGCATAAAACACATTATACTCTCATATCTATGCCTGGCCATGGCAGCAGAGAACACGGCATATGATGAATCGGGTCTGCGGACCAATACAACCGCAATTCATTTCTTTAGTAATGCCCATGTTGAGGGTTAGGCCCAAAAAAAAATGTAAATTTGAAAACCGTAATGAGTTTCCATGCGAATGGTCTGGCAAGGTTTGAATTTGGGTTGGCGGCGATAAATTGTTGTGCAGAAAAACTGCTTTGATCCACAATCAACGCATACAGATATTCCGTGAAAAACAGCTCCACAAATCAAGGAGGTATGTGAAAGACCAAACTGTACTAGACCGCTGGTACTCGCCAGTTCACCAAAAGGTAGTGCGGCACTAGTACTGACACTCTGCTGCATATGAGAGTCATCAAAATTTACCGGCAAGTGCTAACAGAGATCATGCCTGATTCTGCGAACACTGCGGTTTTGTGTGCAATGTATCAAGTGACAGTGACCTACTGACACTGCACTTGCTGGGGGAGAAGGGGGGGTGTTGGCAGGTGCCGGGGCTGATCTTGCTAACGCTGCATTTTTGGGACGCTATACTAATGTGAACGCTGGTATAGTGCTGATCTGATCAAAGATATTGACCCATTCAGACACTATACTAGCAATGGAGGATTATTGTACATGAGCGTGCTCCTGGCAATCAAGGGGTTAAATGTGATGACTGGTGTACTGACGGGCAATCTGACGCTATCTGGGAGGGGCGTGAAAACCACGGGAGCGCGAATCACGTATATATATATATATATATATATATGTGATTTTGCGTACCCATGCCGCCCTGTAGCAGTATTTCTGCTGTAGGGTGGTCAGGAAGCGGTTACAGAAGAGGTTTGTGTTATGGTGCTGCGTTATTTTAACTAACAATTGTGCGGTCATGCAACACTGCACCCAAATTAAATTTACATCCTTCTTTTCCCACAAATTGAGCTTTCTTTCCGTGGTATTTGATCGCCTGTGCGTTTTTAATTTTTTGCGCTATAAAAAAAAAGGCTGACAATTTTTTGAGAAAAAAAAACAATATTTTGGACTTTTTGCTATTAAACATGTCCAGTAAAAAAAATTAAAAAAATCTAATTTTGTCACAAATTTCATCCAAAATGCATTCTGCGACATGTCTTTGCTAAAAAAAAATCCAATACATGTAAATTAATTGGTTTACATGAAAGTTATATAGCGTTTCCAAATGGCGGGAAAGATACTGGGATTTTTAATTTTTTTTATACTAATAATGGCGGCGATCAGCGACATATGGCGGCGATCAGCGACATATGGTGGCGATCAGCGACTTATGGCAGGACTGCAGGACTGCAGGACTGCGGCGGACATTTTGACACTGGGGAGGAACTGACTTGGGGTTACTGACATCCCCAGTGACACCAATACAGTGATCAGTGAAAAGAAAAAACACTGACACTGTACTAATGGCACTGGGGAGGAAGGGGTTAACATTTTTTTTCCACTGAAAGGGTTAGGGAAGTGTTTTACTAGGGGGTGGGGGGTGTGGGCTGGACGGGGGCAGGCTGATCGAGGGAGAGAAACTCTTCTCTCCCTCTTCAGCTTGTCAGGGAACTGACAGATAGCAGGGCTGTGTGTAAACAATGCAGCCCTGCTCTCTGTCAGCAATCACTGCTAATCCCGGGGAAACGGTCGGTAATCACCATACGTGACCCGGCGGCTGACACCCGCTGCTGACACCCGCGGGACAGCTGGGCGGGCACGCGCCTTGTGCGCGCCCCCTACCTGTTTTGCAAAACTACGTTTTAAAACGTGGTTTTGCCTGCCCGTGTCGCCCTGCTACCGTTTTAATGCGGTGGCTAGGCTGCAAGTGGTTAACCACTTGCCCTCCTGAGGATTTACCCCCCTTCATGGCAAGGCCATTTTTTGCGTTTTTGCGTTATGGCGCTGCGTTAATTTAACTGACAATTGCACAGTCATGCAACGCTGCACCCAAATGAAATTTTACTTCCTTTTTTCCCCACGAATTGAGCTTTCTTCCTGTGGTATTTGATCACCTGTGCGTTTTTTATTTTTTGTGCTAAAAGCAAAAAAAGACCCACAATTTTGAGAAAAAATACAATATTTAGAACTTTTTGCTATTAAACATGTCCAGTAAAAAAATTAAAAAAATCAAATTTAATCATACATTTAGGCCAAAATGTATTCTGCGGCATGTCTTTGCTAAAAAAAATAATTATCAATACGTGTAAATTAATTACTTTACGTGAAAGTTATAGCATTTACAAATGGCTGTATAGATAATGGGATTTTTTTTTCTACTAGCAATGGCGGCGATCAGCGACTTTTAGCTGGACTGTGGTAGACACCCCAGCGACACCCCAGTGACACCAATACAGTAATCAGTGCTAAAAAAGGCACTGACACTGTACTAATGGCACTGGGCAGGAAAGGGTTAATGTGAGGGGCGATCAAAGAGTTAACTGTGTGCTGAGAACATGCATCAAAGGCACATGTTACAAAACTCATCGCAAAAAGCACTGCAGAGACAAATCAAACGCAAACTGCATAGGTGTGAACCTAGCCTTAGGCTGGCCATACGTTATACAATTTTCTTAAAATTTTCTGGCCAATTTCCTTTAGATTTACCTTCAACTATGTAGTGCAAGGGCCTGCCTAATTGGATATAATTGCAAGTGTTGTTTAAGTTTGACCTCATATTATATGGTTTTTCGTAAATATAAAGCAACATTTTCAAAATTGTATAATGTATGGCCAGCCTTAGACATTGTGGGATAGATTTACTAAAACTGGAGCACTCAGAATCTGGTGCAGCTGTGCATGGTAGCAGGGGCGGACTGACAACTCATGGGGCCCCCGGGCAATAGGGGATCATGGGGCCCCTGTGTCCTTGCCCACACTCAAAGCACACCCAAAAAAGCCTATAAAAGGTACCAGGGGCATGTCATGGGGCCCCCTACTGACCCTGGGCCCTCGGGCAGTGCCCGAGTGCTTGAATAGTCAGTCTGCCCCTGCATGGTAGCCAATCTTCTAACCTCAGCTTGTTTAATTAAGCTTTGGCAATCACCCTAGGTTCACATCTGTGCGGGTGGTGCCATTGCGGATCCACATGAAAATCCATGAAGCCGCACCACCCGCACAGAGAAATGCAGACCCGCGGATGGGTGACACTAGTTCTAATGGTACGCTGCCCGCACTGGAAACCGCAACCGTACTGGGTGAGAATATACCCAAAGCCCTGGTTCACATCTGTGCGGGCCACAATTTGCGCAGGCATGAGAGCCCATTCATTTGAATGGACTCCCATGCCCCTGGACACACAGGGAAGAAGTCCCTGCACTACTTTGGAAATCGCAGCCCACATAGGAACCTCGGCTTCCAGTACAGTTGCGATCTCCAATGCAGGTGGCGTGCCATCAGAATTAATGGCACCCCTCCGTGGGTCCTTTATTTCTCTGTGTGAGCGGTGTGGCTGCGGGTTTTTGTGTGGGTCCCGCAGTGGCACCACCCGCACAGATGTGAACCGGGGGTAAGAGATAAATACAGCATTCTTTTTTTTTCTCATGCGGTTTTTATCTCAAATGTAGTCAAGTCACTAAAATCATGAGTTATGCGATATTTAGCAATTAAAATTAGCGATACTTTCACAAATTTTGTTTTCACGGGCAAACACTGCACCAGGGGAAGATTGCCTTATGAAAGAAATATTGTGAAACTATGTAAACATTCTCGTATGCCTTCATTCACAGATCCATCTACGTCTAGTGAAATAATACAGATTATTAATATTCCTGAGCTCAGGGCTGAACATTTCCACACTGATAACATTGTATAGTTTTACCTTACTGGCTGATGCCAGCTCCCTCGTGTTGTGTATATTCCTGAAATATTGACTGCCTTTACCATGAAATAAATAACAAATTGTATTTTTTCTTAGTGAATTGACTTTAATGATTTATCTATTATTTTGCGGTATTTACCTAAGATTTTGAATAAATTTCAGGGAATTTTACTTTCATGGATTTACTTTTTTTTTTTTAAATTACATGCAATATTTACCCCACCCCCCCCACACAAATATTTCATGTAACAATCATCAGTGAGTTAACCTGGATTCACAGACACACATAACAATAGGCACTTTGGTCAGCATGTAATGTACAGTGGTATGCAATCTTTTATGTACAACACAATGGGGTTGATTTACTAAAGGTAAATTTACTGTACACTGCAAGTGCAGTTGCTTTAGATCCGAGGGGAAGCTCTGAAATGAGGTGAAGCTCTGCTGATTTCTTTCATTCAATCATGTGCAAGCACAAATGCTGTTTTTTTATTTTCATTGCATGTTCCCCTCAGATCTACAGCAACTGCACTTTCAGTGTATTTGGAGTGCACTTGCAGTGCACTGCCTATTTGCCTTTAGCAAATCAATTCTGCACCAATGGCCAGCGGGAGCAAAAAATGCTCCATGGAGAAAACAGGGGGCACTGGTCCTCAGAAGGGGGAGAGGGGGCACTGTTCCTCGGGGGGGAGGGAGAGAGGGGCACTGGTCCTTGGTGGTGGGAGAGGGGGGCACTGGTCCTCAAGGAGGGAGAGGGGGCACTGGTCCTTGGTGGGGGGAGAGGGGGGCACTGTTCTTCAGTGAGGGGAGAGGAGACACTGGTCCTTATTAGGGGGAGAGGGGGATGCTGGGTCTCAGTGAGGGGAGAGGGGGCACTGGTCCTCAGTGGGGAGAGAGGGGGGCACTGGTCCTTAGTGGGCGAAGAGGGAGGCACTGTTCCTCATTGAGGGGAGGGGAGACACTGGTCCTCATTAGGGGGGGAGGGGGACACTGGTCCTCAGTGGGCGGTGAGGGGGGCACTGGTTCTTAGAGGGGGAGAGGGGGGCACTGGTCCTCATCAGTGGAAGGAGAGGAGACACTGGTCCTCAGTGGGGGGAAAGGGGGACACTGGTCCTCTTCAGTGGAGGGAGAGGGGGACACTGGTCCTCAGTGGGGGGAGAAGGGGGCACTGGTCCTCAGCAGGGGAAGAGGGAGACACTGGTCCTCATCAGTGGGGGGAAAAGGGAGCACTGGTCCTCAGTAGGATGAGAGGGGGGCACTGGTCCTCAGTGTGAGAGAGGGGGATGCTGGTCCTCAGCAGTGGGGGGAGAGGGGTGCACTGGTCCTCAGTGGGGGGAGAGGAGGTCAGTGGTGCCCATCGAGGGGAGAGGAGACACTGGTCCTTATTAAGGGGAGAGGGAGACAATGCTCCTCATCAGTGGGGGGAGAGGGGGATGCTGGTCCTCAGCAGTGGGGGGAGAGGGGAGCACTGTTCCTCAATGAGGGGAAAGGAGACACTGGTCCTCATTTTGGGGAGAGGGGGACACGGGTCCTCAGTGGGGGGTGAGGGAGGGAACTGGTTCTCACAGTTGGAGAGGGAGGCACTGGTTATCATCAGTAGAGGGAGAGGAGTCACTGGTCCTCAGTGGGGGGAGAGGGGGATACTGGTCCTCATCAGTGGAGGGAGAGGGGGGCACTGGTCCTCATCAGTGGGGGGAGAGGGGGGCACTGGTCCTCATCAGTGGGGGGAGAGGTGGACGCTGGTCCTCATCAGTGGGGGGAGAGGTGGACGCTGGTCCTCATCAGTGGGGAAGAGGTGGACAATGGTCCTCATCAGTGGGGGGAGAGGTGGACGCTGGTCCTCATCAGTCGGGGGAGAGTGGGATGCTCGTCCTCATCAGTGGGGGGAGAGGTGGACGCTGGTCCTCATCAGTCGGGGGGAGAGTGGGATGCTCGTCCTCATCAGTGGGGGGAGAGGTAGATGCTGCTCCTCATCAGTGGGGGGGAGAGGTGGATGCTGGTCCTCATCAGTGGGGGAAGAGGGGGATGCTGGTCCTTAGTGGGGGGAGGAGGGGGGCACCGGTCCTCAGTAGCGGTAAGTGGGGGGACGCTGGTCCTCTTCAGTGGGGGGAGAGGTGGACACTGGTCCTCATCAGTGGGGGGAGAGGGGGACGCTGGTCCTCATCAGTGGGGGGGGGGAGAGGGGGGCACCGGTCCTCAGTAGCAGTAAGAGGGGGGATGCTGGTCCTCATCAGTGGGGGGAGAGGGGGGCGCTGGTCCTCATTAGTGGGGGGGAGATGTGGACGCTGGTCCTCATCAGTGGGGGGAGAGGTGGACGCTGGTCCTCATCAGTGGGGGGAGAGGTGGAAGCTGGTCCTCATCAGTGGGGGGAGAGTGGGATGCTCGTCCTCATCAGTGGGGGAGAGAGGTGGATGCTGGTACTCATCAGTCGGGGGAGAGTGGGATTCTGGTCCTCATCAGTTGGGGGGAGAGGTGGATGATGGTCCTCATCAGTGAGGGAAGAGGGGGATGCTGGTCCTTAGTGGGGGGGAGAGGGGGGCACCGGTCCTCAGTAGCAGTAAGAGGGGGGATGCTGGTCCTCATCAATGGGGGGAGAGGGGAATGCTCGTCCTCATCAGTGGGGGGGAGAGGGGGATTCTGGTCCTTAGTGGGGGGAGAGGGGAGCACCGGTCCTCAGTAGCGGTAAGTGGGGGGACGCTGGTCCTCATCAGTGGGAGGAGAGGTGGACACTGGTCCTCATCAGTGGGGGGAGAGGTGGACGCTGGTTCTCATCAATGGGGGGAGAGGTGGAAGCTGGTCCTCATCAGTGGGGGGGGGAGAGTGGGATGCTCGTCCTCATCAGTGGGGGGAGAGGGAGGCGCTGGTCCTCATTAGTGGGGGGAGAGGTGGACGCTGGTCCTCATCAGTCGAGGGAGAGTGGGATGCTCGTCCTCATCAGTGGGGGGAGAGGTGGACGCTGGTCCTCATCAGTGGGGGGAGAGGGGGGCACCGGTCCTCAGTAGCAGTAAGAGGGGGGACGCTGGTCCTCATCAGTGGGGGGAGAGGGGGCGCTGGTCCTCATTAGTGGGGGGGAGATGTGGACGCTGGTCCTCATCAGTGGGGGAAGAGGGGGATGCTCGTCCTCATCACTTTGTAAAAGGGCAAGCTGCTTGGAGGTGACTACTTAGTGATTCTCCGCTTCCACAGCCGTCCCCAGGTATGGAATACGTATACTGACCATGGTCCAAACTGAATCAATGAACTATCTGGAGTTCACCTTTCAACTTTGTTTTAGTCTTTCCATCTACTCCAATGGGAGTGCAATGATTACATGTAACAAGCATTTTTTGTGCATTTTCACACCTCTTGTGCATTTTCTCCTCTTCTTAATAAAGGCTTGGACTAAAAAACTGCAGGTATAAACGAGTGTGAAAAAAGCACCCCAAATAAATGAGGAAGCTAAAGTGTGCTCCGCCTCCATACACGCTCTGCAATCTCATCACTTTGTATTTTATAGTAAATTCAGCCAAATATTCGCCTATAGTGTCCTGTGCAGTACCTGCTTTTATCCAGCAGAGGGCACACAACCCATGCCACCGACTACAGCCGTCTATTTGAAGGTATCCGTCCAATCACAATAGACAGAATGGAAAGCCAGAAATGACTCCGCCTCTCCAGTGACGTACAGGACCGCGCCCCGCCCCCTCAGTTCTTTATTCCATAGATTGGGTCTATATCCTTGGCAACCCCAGTGCGCGCTGTGAGCGGAGAACATGCTGAGCGCCCGCCGGGGCAGTGCAGGGGGGGCCCCGGACTCCCTCCACTGAGCACCTGCCGCCCCCTCACCCAGCGCCCAGCCCGGCACCTCCTCTCCGCCACACCATGGGCTGCTTCTGCGCCGTGCCGGAGGAATTCTATTGTGAAGTTTTGTTACTGGACGAGTCCAAGTTGTCACTGACCAGCCAGCAGCACGGGGTGAAGGTAAGTGTGCCCGGCCGCTCCTTTGTCCTGTGCCTGGGGCTGTGCGGGAGCCGAGGACTGAACGCCGCTACCTGTCATCTGGGTGCGGGGAGCCGCACCAGTCTCCGGTCCCTCCGATCCCTGCATGACTGACAGCCGGGGATGGAGAGACGTATGGGGAGCAGACAATGGCAGTACACACCCAGCACACTCCGCAAACTTACCGACCATCACCTACCGCACACTTCTTATGGACTGCCCTGGACCAACACCTACCTCTTCTTCTCATAGACCCTCTTAGATCATCACCTACCTCTACTTCTCATAGACCGTCTTAGATAATCACCTACCTCTACTTCTCATAGACCGTCCTGGACCATCACC